CCAATATTTCATACAGCCAATCAAACGTGGCTTCTCTAAGTGTGTTGCCCGGTACAAAGAAAATAGCAAGTTACCAAACGTGTGCCGCTGAAATTATGACCTCCCTGGAGGGCTGTGCCACCTGTCCCAGGGACTTCTCCTGGTGCAGCTGCTTGCTCTTGTATCCAGGCTCTGGAACCCGATTTTGACTGAAGTAGATGTCAGCGGCAGGGCTGGCCCGGGGCAGGGCTGGCACTCCCAGGCGCGCACAAGTAACATTGCTGGTCGCCGCAGGAAAGCAACCCGCTCAAAGTGCATCTGCTAACAGAGGGTGCTCGGTTGGAGCTGCCTTGGGGCCTTAGCTATTTGGAACTGACGGTGCTGTGGTCGAGCCCAGGATTTCTTAAACGTTTTCCACTGTGAATCCTTTGGGCCAGAGAGATTTGCAACATGGGAAAGTGCTGCCAGACCCATCTTGGATTCATTACGTTTTTTATTTTGAATTAATGTGGGGTCGTTGAGAGTTGAGAAAGCCTCTTAATGCTGCCAACATTTTTGCGACCTCTACTCTACCCCATAAGGGGTGACCACCAGTTTAAGAAGCTTTGGCATAGACCACGGCTTAGGCCTTCCATTCTCATCAAAGAGCCGGGAAGGCGGACTGGTAGTGCCTGGCTCCGCAGTGGTAGGTGTTAGGAGTGGGTCTGGTACCAAGCTAGGGAGCTGCAAGTGAGTCCCAAGTGCTTGTTGTTGTTTTCAGCATATCGTCACTGCAGGCAGAGTAAACATAATCGTTTTGTTAGTTTGTTTTGTCGCATAGTAAATGGATCGACTTCTGTTGCAATGCTGTTAGTAGCTATCATGGCCCTGAGACCTAGAATCCAAGTTCTTGGACAAGTAAGCAGTGGTGTCTCCGGATGCTGCCGTGATCAAACCAGGGAGAGTGTTCTTCCCCTAGGTACTTCGGTATTTGGGAAGTCCCAGGGCGGGGGACCTTCTTGAGCTCCTGTTTAATCTTTGTAAACACGTGCTGGCACTGAAAGATCCATTCCAAACGGTTGTAGTGGCTCCTCAGGTAGTCAGATAGAAGGGTTGAATGCCTACCATTTCTGGATGGGGCCAGACTGGCTTTGACCTCCGTGCATTCCAGCAGAAGCCCCTGAGTTATTAAAAAGCCTAAGGATTTTAAACTACTGTCTCGCTGGCTTGCAGTTCCCCTTAATTGACAGTTGATGAGCTGTAGACAAGAGGGGGGCGTTTCTTTTCCTGTGACTCATTACTTGAGCCTTCCTGGCCATGTATGTACCAGAAAGAGATCCAGTCAGAATCAAGAAAGCTGCCCCAGCATCTGTAAGAAAGTCTTCAGCTGCTTTTACCAGGGGCTCAGGAGGAGGGATAGGAACACGCTGATCATCCCCCTGGCTGTCCTTATTCTTCCACTTGCTTTTCCCTCATTATTCCCTAAAACTCACTTTCTCCTTGCCTTAACGTCCTTCATTCTTGCCCTCTCCCTTTCTTTAGGAACTCATTTTTTTAAAGCCCTTCCTGATTTACAAAAGGCACACTGATTTTTTTCTTCTTCTTTCTCAGTCAAAGTTCCCCTCTTTCTCCTATTTTGCTCTTTCTCGGCCATTTAGAAGAAGAGCCAGGAGGACAACTGGCTTCTTTATCTTCTCGTCTTTCTTCTTCCAGGATGCTTCCCTAAACTCCTCTCGAGTAGCGTAAATTGTGTAGGCCATCCCAACCAACTGTGAAACGGACAGCACCCCTCACCCTGTGTTCACCTTCATGTGGGGCACCTTGGCCAATGAAAGCAGGCTAATCAGATAGGCGTTCTGCTGTGCTTCCTGATTAATATGGATACATCTCTGGAACTATGAGATGAATCGGTCAAGAGAAGTGGAGGGGTTTTCCTCTGTGTCTTGCAAGATTTCTTTTGCCAAAACGCATCTGGCATGGTGCTTTATGCTTCAATTCATGAACAATAACTTCCCAGCTAGCAATGAAATATCCTTCGACGTTGGTATTGGGATCTCAGCTGGGCGTTTGCTGCTGGGCTTCCAGTCACTAAAATCCTCCCTTTATTTTTCTGTCACCGCTTCTCTCGTGTTTTGCGCTGGATCATCTGTCTTTCCTGAGCCAGCAGGAGGGCATCTAATAAAGCCTGACAGTCAGTCCTGGTGGGTAGTAAATAAATGATGAAAATGTCGGTCTTATCAAAAAGTTCGGCTCGGTAGGCTAGCAGGTGATATTTCCAGTGGTTTGAGTTAGAGGCAGAAAGAGGCTGGTATGCCTGGCAATTCCCCAGCCACTGGCACCTTCTGAGAGGGGATCGACCTGATGGGAAGGCAGGACTGAACGTGATCCACAATGAGTGTGGGAAGGTCAGGCTATATTTACTCCAGCCTCCGGTTCCCCTTTGCTTGTTCTGTCTCCTTTATCTTTGGGAAATTAAGTCTCAGTCTTTGTGTATTTGTCTTATTATGAAGTCATAAAACATCCCACATACAGTTTTCCACTCCATCTGTTCATCCTACTATGAAACAAATTTAGTTTGGAAATGATCTTAGGATTGATTTTTCAGCCAACGTACACTATCTGGTAAGGAATGCTGACGCTATGCCTTGTAACATAGAACCATTCATGTTTTCTTACTCAGAGCATCTCCGCCAAAATCAATCCTGTTTCCCAAGATCCTATGGGACTTTCTGTGGGCACACTCTTCTGATTTCCCAGTTTTCTTTTGGGTATGTTCTCTGAAAATCAGGCTAATCAAGGGAGCATTCTGCTCTGCTTCTGGATCAATATTGATACATCTCTGGAACTCTGAGATTAACCAGTCAAGAATATTGGAGGAATTTTGCTCTGTGCCTTGCAAGAGTTCTTTTGCCAAAGCTTGCCTGGCAAAAATAAAGTGTCGGAATTTCACAGGGGCAGTTCTACCCTGTCTTATTGGGTCACTATGAGTCGGTATTGACTCAATGGCAGTGAGTTTGTTTTGGTTGACCACTTGCTGTTTTATTTTATTTTTTCCATTTCGGTTCTCTTTCTTCTTCTAGGGAGCCCTGGTGGCATAGTGATTAGACATTGGACTGTGATCCTCAAGGTCACAGTAAAAACCACCAGCATCTCAGAGGAAGAAAGACTGGGCTTTCTACTCACATAGACAGTTACAGTCCCTAAAATGTACAGACACAGATCTACTCTGCCCTAGAGACTCATGATCAGTCAGTATCACCTCAATGGCAATGAGGTTAGCTTTTTGGAGTCTTGTCCAGCAATTGGACTTCCTGGCCACCACAGGTAGAGACCTCCCCAAACCAGGCAGCGGTGCATAATCTGTGATCCTGGGTCCATCAATTTCCAGTACCAGACATTGAATTGATCCAGGGTAAAACATTCAGAATGGTACTTCAATAAGGATGTTTTAAGGTATATATCATATGCTCCCTATGGGTACCCCCGTCCTATGTTCTAGTCTGGTTCATTTTGAATGTCTTAAATCAGGTGTAGGGGTGGGGGGGGGGGTTCATACTAGGGACTTATATATATATATATTTGATGATCAATGAAGGCTTTGGGCCAGAATCAGAATGTAAGTCAGGCTTAAAGGGACTGTGGTGGTGTAGTAGCTATGAATTAGGTTGCTAACTGCAAGGTCAGCAGTTTGGAATCACCAGCTCCTCTTGGGAACTCAAAGGGGACAGCTCTACCCTGACCTGTAGGATTGTTATGAGTAGAATCAACTTGATGGCAGTCAGCGAGTGAGTGATGGGCTTCCCTGAGTTGACATAATGTGGAAATGGGTTTGGTCAGATTTTTATGATCATGGAACTCCCAAAGTCAGATGTCATTCTTGTCTATATAAATGGAAGAGATCAGTACCTTTGCTATAATGAATCGTATCTTCTGTGTAGCAAACACCAAATTCTCAATCCCCCAGATGACTAGTAGTGTATCAGGGTGATGCATATGTAAAATAACAACTGCTTCATCAGAAGTAGGACAATGCAGGGTAGAGTAAGTGTAAATTTGTCTGTTTATATGTATTGAAAGATCGTATATGTGACTTCCTGGAACTTTTATCATTGTTGGTGGCCTTGAGCTTCAAACCCATTTCTGCATTTGAGGTGTTAGTGAGTCTTAAGGAATGTGCTAGCCCATATGGATCTACTGAACATCTCTAGATCATATTCCTTTTACATTCATAAGGAAAAAGACTTCTTCAAATATCTCTAAGAATTGGCTCCTGCAGCCGCGGTGGCATGGCCGCTGACTCCTTGTCCTGTGAAATGCGAGGATGGCTGCTCCAAACCCCGAGCCTTTCCGGGGAAGCAAGGTCATGTGAACCTTTAGAACCTCAAGCTTTATTCTTCGTCTGAAAGCAACGTTGAAAACTAAGGACTGGCTCCCACTATTAACTATATCCTTAAGGCCAGTATGTATTTTTACAACCAAAATGTGATGCCTCAATTGATTATTTACAAATTCCTTATTGAATATTATTTCTCAGGCACTGAGTCAGATACTTGGATATTAGATGGGAAGTCTTTAACGTATTCTACAGGTAAATGGAAGAAGAAAAGTGATAAACGGATAACAGCCACTCGGTCTAATACGTTCAGTCAATGCTTATTTTGCAAAAGAAGTCTAAGCTGTGGGTGAAAAGACTGGTAAGATTTCATTTATTTGGGGAGTTGAATGTAGTTTTAACAGTTCGACATAGGTTTTATAAAAAACGGGCCAAAGATGTACGTTTTTCACAGCTCAAAGGAGGATGAGTGTTGTTGGCTAATATAAAGTAATTCAAGAAATGTCAGATGTGAATTCAAAAAGCAGGGGTCTGTTTTGAAATCTGAATCTTGCAAAGAATGGATTGGGCAAAACTTGACGGAATGATGAGTTAGAAATAAAACTATTGTACCAAGCATCATAATTCTGCTTCTAATCAGGAAGTGGTTAGGTGTGACAGATTCAAATCGATAAAATTAACATTCTATTTCTGTCCATGAAGGAAGAAGATGAATCGGAGTAACTTCATCAACGCAATAATTGCTCTTTCTCTTATTGGACCTGGACTTGGAGGGAACTTCTTTATGTTTGTAGAGCATGTGTGCGCGTTTATTAGAGGTCCTGAGAAGAAAAACATAAACCTTATTATGATGCACTTGGCTTTCACAAATGCAATGAGCCTTTGTGTCAAAGGAATCTCAGATGTAATACCAGTTTTTCATCTAAGTAACTTCCTAGATAGTGTTGGTTGTAAAACTGTGATTTACCTGGGGAGGGTGGCACGGGGCCTTTCAATCTGTACCACCTGTCTCCTCAGTGTGGTCCAGGCCATCACCATTAGTCCTAGGACCACCCCGTGGACAAAACTCAAACTGCGGACTGCAGGACAACTTCTTTTCTGTCTCCTCATCTTCTGGACCTTTAATACCCTGACAAGCTGTAACTTGCTCTACTACATCGCATCAGTCAAAAACATGAACAGATCTGAAGTCAGTCAGCATATTGGATATTGTTATCTCCTGCCATCTACACAAATTGTTAGGTGGCTTTTCCTTATTCTGATGGCTGTTCGAGACATCGTCTTCCAGAGTCTCATGGGCTGGAGCAGCGCGTATATGGTGGATTGTCTGTATACGCATCATAAGCGTGTCCTCTACCTTCAAAATTCCAGGTTGATTCAGAAAAGCAAAACCAGGCCTGAGATCAGAGCTACTCAGAGCATTCTCATTCTCACGGCCTGTTTCCTTTTCTTTTATTGGACAGATTTCATTTTCTCCTTCTATTTAGGTTTCTTCTCAACATTTGATCCCATAATATTGAATATAAAAATATTTCTAACACTTGGTTATGCCAGTCTTAGTCCCTTCGTGTTAATCAGTAGGAATTTCCATGTGGATAATTGCTGGCCTGCTCACTGAGAAGTTAGGAAACTACGTTCTACTTGATTCCTCCATCAAATAAGCAATATCATGTACTGATATTTCTTGCCCAGGATGTCTCAGCATAAATCAATGGGGCCTTATAAAAACAGTGTGCTGTTCTGGGTGATTTGAGAAGAAAACATCAAGAAAAATTAGATGTGAAGGAATTTATTAGGGCAAACCCCCCTGAGAGATATGGGGAGTGGGCCAGGAGGCTAATAAAGCCAATGAACCACAAAACAAGTATGATCCCGATCAATAGTGGCATACCAGGTACCAGGAGAAGTCTTACTTTGCTTAGGTGACAAAACAACATGTGGAACAGCAACTGCTAGTCAAGTCAACACCTGGTTAAGTGCACAATACCCCACTGTCATTTTCCAAGATCTGGTTTTGTTGTTGTTTTGCACAGACTAAATAGGCGAGTTAAATGGAGATGTGGTGAGAATCATCATCCCCGTATCCTTCAAGTCCTTCATGGTGTTGCTCATCTCTAGAATCCCTACAGGAAGGAAGGCGGCATTGTTTTGAGTAAAGGTGTTCTAATGGCTTCAGTTAGTTTTTCCTACCACAAACCCATATTCCACATGTCAGGGATGCAATATGGGCATTCCACCAGATGCTGGGTACATCTATTTCGTTTATGCATTCTGGAACTGGGAAAATAACTACAAGATGGTTTCAGAGACATGCCCACTCTGAGATGAACCTGAGCTAAGACTCCATTAATAACTGAATCCCAATATGCCCCCACTCTGACTTGTGAGCCTTCAAAATATTTCTGGTAGCCTGGGATTAGTGTCAATTCTGAGCTAGCATCCAATCATCTCTGCTGAGTCTGATTATTTTCTTTTCCCCAATGAACACTCACTTGTAAAAGGCTACAGATCCCTTTGAGGAAGGCTTGGAAAAAGGTTGTTTTAGGTGGTGTAGTGGGTCCCTTCCTCTAAAGAACTCAGCCTTCCTTTTATTCAGGGGGTTGTGTGTCTGTTAAGGGGATTGTGTGTCTGTTAACTGAGGAGCCGTGGCTCTCTCTTCTGGTGATTCAAATTATATTGTCATTCACCCAACCTAGAATCCTTGCTGTACAGATGAAGTAAATACTCAGTAGGGTTTCCCATCTATTTCACGGCTAGGGACACCCTAAGTAGCAAAATCTATAAGTCCATACAAGTCAGGCTATTCTGATTACTACTTTGACGCTGCTGCCCATTACAATAATCACTACCACCTTGTCTCAGTCAATCAACTGCATTGTAGTTAGGTGTCTTAATTCAATTAGTATGGTTACCACTGTCGAGCCTGGCTTAAGTAAAGTAGCAATTAAAACCATCTTCAAAGATGCTGGGGTTCTCTTCAAACTTTCTTCCTAAACATTTGTAGTAGAGGTATGTCGTCGGGACAAACCAGGTGTGGGTCTATGGGTCTACCCTAATAAATTCACCCTAACCGGTCAATTTCCTTTAGCCTTTGGATACTATGAATAGTTAAAGTCTGTGCCAACTTGGCCTGGCCAGGATTCTCTGTACAAGGCCTGTCCTAGAAGGTAGATCATAGTCTGATGATATCTCCTTGGGGGTGTGTCCTATTTATCAGAGATGTTGTGGAGAACTGGTCTCTGTCATCCCATGTCTTCCTGGTTGCTTGGATCTTGTGTCAGGCTTCTGGGGCCAGTGGCCTATGTGGCCTGCTGATCCTAGGAGCTGTCAGTGCCCTGTCATCTCTCCTACCAACCTTGGATACATGTGACTCTGGCCTGTGATCTCTCAGCTTCCTGCTTTGCCTTTCTGCTTCATTGGCCAGCAGATGCATGAATCTGGAAGGACCGGTTTTGCTTAATGCTCAGCCTCATGAAGAGATCTTTGAAGATGCAGGTGCTGCAGCAAAGCATGGTGAAGAAACCAGATGATGCCTGACTATCAGAAAAATAGCACTTGGGGTCTTAATGGCTTGTACTCAAACAAGCATCCATCTAAGTGAGGCATCAACTAAGTCCCCATGGAAGAAGCACATCAGCCTGTGTGATCCAAGGATTGTAAATAATAATATTCAAATCCAAGGGAGGGAATGAGATCAGAGCTTAAATTCTGAACATGTGGTTTGCAAAATGCGATTGATAACAACGGACGCTCTATATCCATTTCAGGGTCCCCACATGGATTAAGCTTCTAGTGAAGATGCTCTGACATGAGCCCTGAAGGTGTCGTGGTGAGGAGTTGAGCTGTGATCAGCAAGGTCTCCAGCCACACCACGGGAGAAAGATGGGGATTTCTACTCTCTTAAATAGTTGTAGTCTAAATTTTGTTTAATGTTATAGTCTTGGAAACCCACAGGGACAGTTCTACACTATCCTAGGGTCACTAAGAGTTTGCATCGACTCAAGGGCAGTGAGAGAATTGCCCTTGACCACAGTCCAGGGATGTGAATAGCCTTGCTATAGACAGAAAGCATGGTAAAGTCGTTAAAGTCGATTATGTAGTGTTGTTAAAATGTAATACCGTATCATGTTATCTCCCTTGTGATCCATTTTAAAGTTGTTTCAGTTTTTAATATTTTTCTGCTTTCTTAATGTTTTTCTATGTTTTATCTATTGTTGTTGATTTTTGTTTCTTTATTTGACTCTTGTTTGTTTTGCACGATTTAATGTATATAAAATCCTAGATAGGTAAATCAATAGCTAGAGTGACTGGATTGATAATTTCCTAGGAGGATGGCAGGGGGCGGGGGGAGTGGGGATTTAGCAACAATGAGCAGGAAAAGAAAATGTTCTGAGATTGATTGTGATGATGATTGCACACATCTTAATGCAATTGAACAATTGAATTGTTTATGTCAAGTACATTTATAAGTCTATTTAATAAAACAATTAAATGAAATAACTGTTAACATGAAAATGAAAATTGTTTAAAGAATAAAAGAAAAATCTGTGTTTAGTGGCCCATGTCAACAAATTCACCCTGATCCAACACTGTGTTCCCTGCACTATTGTCTCACACTTTTAATATCCATTGCCACACATATTCTCCAGGTTTCTGTCTGTATATATTAGAAAATGCTTAGCAGTTATTGATACTTTAAGTTTATTGTGCCAACCTGGCCGATAAACACATGTGGGGTTAATTGATGGGCAGAGGGATAAATGGCTTGGTGAGCCTCCCCTTTCTAGTTCTCGGGTCTCTTGCTTTCTGATGGTCGGACCAGGGTGAAGCTGCCTTAGCCAGTTCCCTGCATCAGCTGGCAAGGCTCACTTCCTGTAAGACATCCCTGAGGAGAAGCCACATGGACCTACCCGATGCAGCCCTGGGTGCTGGAGCAGCTGTGTGGAGACTCCTGCCAGCACTGAAATGTTTACACATTCACTGACTCAGCTTTCCTCCTGTAGTCGACATCAATAGTGTGTGTTTTGTGAGATGGAGGAGGACTTTGTGGATTGGTGTTGGACATATCGGTTAATGGGTTAATATTGGACTTGTGGGCCTTGGGAAGCACTGGGTTGGGATGTTTTCTTGATGCGCACTTACCCTTTATATAAAACTCTCTCTTATACATGAGTTCCTGTGGATTTGTTTCTTTAAAGTCCCCAGACTAACACAGTTATTTAGGAGTACAATTAAGGCACAACTCTTTTGGGGTCACCTTTTGTCCTTCACCTTTTGGAACTTGCTGGACTTAAGTCTAGTTACAGGTCTAGAGGTATTCAAGGGTGGTCGGGGTGTTTCCTAGGAACACTAAGCAATGTCTTATAAGGTATCTGCCTCATGTGATACTTCAGACCAAGCCCCAGGGGCCAAATCAGTATGTACAATTGGGAAAGTCCCCTCAAATGTGGGCTGAGGGGGGGGGATAATTGTTGTACTCATAATGGATTGACAGGCAAAAGGTGGAGTAATCTCTTCAGACTGGAGGGATATCATGTTGGTTGAAGTTATTCAGTAAAATTTAGGGGCCCAATGTCTCCTCTTCCTGCCCATATATTTATCTGCCCATACGTCCCCATTCCAGGTTTCAAGGTTACATTTTTTTCCCTCAATCAATGCCCTCACTTTAACATTAGACACCATTTGAGTCTTGGATTTCAACTCGGATTATAATTCAGCCATTCATATGATACGACTCTGGGTTTGGTTTTCAGCAATATCTTTTCTGTTACTACAAGAAAAACTCTTTCGAGAGCAATGAATGTACAAATGTGCTTGACACAATTGATGTATGTATGGATTGTGATAAGAGTTGTATGATCCCCTGATAAAATGATTAAGAAAGAAAGGAAGAAAAAGGCTTTCTTTCAGGGCACATGGGGAAATTTTGAGTGTTGTATGCAGTACTTGAACTGTGACTCTGAAAGCCTGGGCTCATCACTTTCCTTTACCATTTTGTCTATTGGAGGCAGTACCAACCAACCAGCTTCCTATAATTCTTATCCTGGCAAAATTACTGAAAAATATTAAACACGCAGTCACCCAGAACCTTACTTCTCATCAATACTTCATCTGTTTGTGGTGATATTTTTCAATTAATATTGCCATCACATGCTATGGATTAACAACATCCTCTTCACTAATAGAGCCAGAGTTATTGTTTATGTTACTCTGGGTAGACTAGAGAAGCAAATCTAGGAAAACTAATATGTGTATAAGAAAGAGCTTTCTATAAAAGAGCAATTGTATATTAAGAAAACATGCCAGCCCAGTCCAGTTTGAGTCCAATATTAGCCCATATGTCCTATCCCAGTCTATGAATTCCTCTTCAGACTCATGTAACACAAGCAATGACACCGAATGCAGGAAGATCACAGGCCAGTGGGTGAAAAGTCTTATGGATCCAGTGGTGGTGGAAGCATCTCAGCACTGGCATGGGTCTCCTCCAGCTCCAGGGCTCTGGCTCCATCAGTGTATAGCTCCATATGGCTTGTCAACAGGAAGGTCTTGCAAGAAGAGTGTGTGCCCTGCTTCCAGTGAGCTATTTATCTCCTTAGCACCTCCAAATGAGGTCAGCAA